TTCCTAGTATAGGTTTACCAGGAAACCATCATAAATAAACAATCGTTTAAACTCACTTTAAATTAAATCTCGCTTCTAAACTAAAAAAAAAATAGATTTTAATTTCAGAGGTTCTTTTAAGTGCATTTTTAAAAACACTTTAACATCTTTAATCACTTCCCAGCCTCCCTATAGCAGAACTACTGCTACAGGGCGGCAGGGCTGTGCAAAATCATGTACATATACGTGATTTTGTATTTATGGGTAGGGGGGCACCATTGGCGGCTACAGCTGACGATCACCGGGTCCTGGCCGGAGAATCCCTGCCGGTACACGGCGATCGCCGAGGAACAGTGACGGGGGAGAGGTCTGTATGTAAACAACACAGGTCTCTCTCCTGTCAGCTCCAGCACGCTGCTTTGTATTGCTCTGCATAGCAGCATGCTTGCACAGTAAAATGCAGCACACAGTTAACCTTTTGATCGCCTTAGATGTTAATCCCTTCCTGCCCAGTGCCATTAGTACAGTGTCAGTGCTTTTTATTAGCACTGATCACTGTATTGGTGTCACTGGGGATGTCAGTAACACCAAGTCAGTTCCCCCCAGTGTCAGAATGCTCGCCGCAGTCGCTGATCGCCGATATTACTAGAATAATTTTTTTTTTAAATTTAAGTATATATATAACGCCATTTGTAAACACTATAACTTTCACGTAAACCAATCATTTATACGTATTGGGATTTTTTTTTTTGAGCAAAGACATTTTGGCTTAAATTTATGATGAAATTTGATTTTTAAAATTTGTTTACTGGACATTTTTATTAGCAGAAAGTCCAAAATATTGTTTTTTTTCTCAAAATCATTGGCTTTTTTTTGTTTATAGCACAAAAAATAAAAAATGAAGAGGTGATCAAATACTACTGAAGAAAGCTCTATTTGTGGGAGAAAAAGGACGTAAATTTCATTTGGGTGCAGCTTTGCATGACCGCGCAATTGTCAGTTAAAGTAACGCAGCTCCGTATCTCAAAAATTGGCCTGGCCAGGAAGGGGGGTAAATCCTCAGGAGTGCAAGTGGTTAATATATTCAGGAAAATGCAGCAAGTAATTATTATTATTATTATACAGTATTCATAAAGCGCCAATGGTTCGCTCAGCACTGTACATTACAAAGGGGGACAGAACATGTGACAGAACAATACCAATACAATGCAAAACATGAGGGGATCGAGGGCCCTGCTCTTTCGAGCTTACAATATAGGAGGGAGGGGATGGTGGCACAGGAGGAGATAGCTGTGGGGGATGGAGTGGTAGGAAGAGTGGAGGAGGTCGGCAAGTTAGCAGGGGGTGGGGTAGGCTTCCCTGAAGAGGTGGGTTTTCAGGGTGCGCCTAAAGGAGAGGAGAGTAGGTGATAATCTGATGGGTTGGGGCAGGGAGTTCCAGAGGATGGGTGACACCCTGGAGAAGTCCTGGAGGCGGGCATGGGAGGAGGAGACCAGGGAACTAGAGAGAAGGAGGTCTTGTGAGGAGCGGAGTGTGCGTGCTGGGCGGTACTTGGATATTAGGTCAGTGATGTAGTTCGGGGCAGTATGGTGGACGGCTTTGTACATCAGTGTTAGCATCAAATGTAATCTTTTGCCTTTCTCTTCCTGTCCCCTGAGAACTGTCCAGGACTAAGGTTCAGCCGGGAAATAAGTAAATCTCATGTTTACTTTCAGATATTTTCCAAATGGAAGGAATTATATCAAACAAGGTATATAATGCATTAAGATCAGTTTGCATATTTCTAAAAGCTTGCTTGCAAATGGGTGGCAACGCTAACATGGGACTTTTGAGCTAAGGGTGCTAGGGCTGTCTGCTTTCTGCAGCATAGCTGCTCTGTGATTTAGGTTTCTGCTGCAGCAAACTCTAGTACAGCTTTTTTTGTCAAAACTTGAACAAGCTGAAGCTAGAAGCTGATTGGCTGCAATGCACAACTGCACCAAATTTTTCACATTTCAGTTTTAATAAATCAACTCCAATGACTGGAGACATATTACATGAGGATGCTAAAAGTCACTACTATAACAAGGCAATACTTGAAGAAAGATTAGTGTCTGCAGGAGCCCCAAGGGTGGCGAAAAAAATACCAAGACCCATAGGTTGGGCACCAAGGCTTACAGTCTATACAGGTTTCTAATAAAACAGTCTTTCTGAAAACCAGTTTAACAACCCAATCCCCCTTAACTACTAAAAGTACAACTAAAGAGGGATGCTTATGTCCCTGACACATGTTGGCCTCTCATCTTTGGACATGTATGATGAATAAAATATACGTGGACACTAATGTTTTTGGCGTGGTAATCTTATTCTTGCACCTTCAGTGTTTTGCAAGTCAACTCATACAACTAGTTATTTATTATTATATTAATATAGGACTTATATAGCGCCAACAGTTTGCTCAGCGCTTTACATTATGGAGGGAGACAGTACAGTAACAATACAGTTCAATACAAGAGGGATTAGAGGGCCTGATCCTGGGAGCTTACAATCTAGGAGTAAACTAGTAAATCAGAACACCTACAGTAATCATTATACTTGTTAATGACTCAAAAAGCATGAGATCAGCATGAGATCCAGACAGCAAGCATTTCAAAGTGTCAGGAGAAAAGAAGAGGAAGCCCTGGCAAATTCGCCAATGCTCAATATGGCCGCTCCAATTTGCACAAAAATGTGCGTATGCACATAGTTGGACGGCACGTAATCGCTAAAGTGTACCGGCATACGCAGGGCGCGATAATTACTGATGTTTAGTGGCCTTTATAAGGGCTGCAGCTCTGCTCAATAATTGCTGGATTATCATCAGCCCCCTGTTCCTGTGTATACTGCTGATTACCCATTACCAACCCGCCTTAACCCAGACCTTGCTTTGGCTTTCTTCCTGGCTCTCTACCTTGGCTTGATTCTGACCTCACTCCTGTTTGCTGTTCTGTATTGACCCTGACTCTGGCTACTGACTACTCTACTCAACCTCTGGGATCCACGTGTCCTCTGGAGAAACTCCTCCTGCACCACCTGTTACCACCTCCAGGGGCGCACTGCACTTAGCCGTAAGGGAAGCCCTGTCTTTATTCCAGCCTCCAGTCAGCTACGTGGCACAAAGTAAGAGGTCAGCAACATCTATGTACTTCCCTCAGTACTGGTTCTCTTTGTCCCAGATTCTAGGATGACATATCTTCTGTACAATATGGTTTTGCAATAGGTAAAATTTCAGCAGTTTATGGGAACGGACTGCATTATTTTCTGGAATTAATTAGGCCAGGATTCTATATTTCAGCATCCAGAAGAGAAGCAGCCTAGTAGCACAGCAGATGGAATGCAGAACATTTGTATGTTCTCGTTAGGCACCCTGCACGTACCTGAACTGAATACCAACTAGACTAAATCAGCATCAAACGTCGTATTTTCAGCACAGTGTAAGAAGCTACAGCTTTAAATCCCTGTGTGAGGGTATCAACCTGCCACTTTGTGCCCGTCTGCCTCACCCCATCAAGACACAAGGGATAATTTAATTAAAATGTGACTGTTACCACATTCAAATGGTAAAAAAAGGAACATTATATAATAGGGATGATAAGGAAACAGAGAAACCAAGAAACTGAATTAATTCTTTGGAGATCAGTCACCGGGAACTTAGAAATGTTCTAATTAAAATTTTGACTATCACGACTGCAAAGATAGTTTTAATCAAATGAATTTAATTATTTAAGGAACCGGGCAAAGCGCACCTACATAAATCCTACCTGGAAGTTATTTTTTTTTTTTTAACAGTTATCTGCACGGTTACAAATTCTAGATATAGGCTGTAATTGCTCAGTTGTTGGTTATCATTTTTATAAAAGGGTTCATCTTTTTTGTTCAGTCATTGGGCTTATCTTGAGTCATTAGCTATGTAATGGTATAAAATATAATTAGAGGATATAGAGCAGCAAACTATCTCTCCTCTGGAGCTGGTTCCTGATTGTCTGACCAACCCCATGAAGCAGGATAAAGACATAATGTTATATCTGATAGCTTTTGCTGAATGCTGCCGGTAGTCACCCATAAGGGATTACTTGCCCGATAAGGAAGACAGTTTGTTATATAACTTGCAATGCTTCCAATAAGCAGTCCACCTTTACAGTACTGATAACAAAAGGAACAATATAGATTATCTCTGTAGAGATAACTACCATAGGGTCACTGACCCGTACAGTCTTGGTGGAAAAGTTTCAGTTATGTTGTTATGAGGTGTATGGCTCTAAGGAGGAGGACCTAAGGTGTCACCTACATCTGAATGATTAAAGGAGTCCTCAAACTTGCATGAACAGTTCTGCAATCACACTCTCCTAGGCCATAACTCAGCCCAACATGGACAACTTATCTTGATTTTTAAAAGCACAACTATACCAGCCAGGTATGGGCCACTGAACACCCTCAGAGCAAATGTAGAGTACAGAGCAAGGCTCCTACACATTAAGAGGAAGAACTCTCCTTGATCTGCTGTTGCACATAGAGGTTGATTTACTAAAGGCAAATAGGCTGTTCACTTTGCAAGACATGTGTTTGATAGTTCTGGACAAATACCGTATTTTTCGCTCCATAAGACGCATCTGACCATAAGACGTACCTACGTTTTAGAGGAGAAAAACAAGGAAAAAAAAATTCTGAACCAATGGACTGTAGACACAGTACAGGAGATGACCAGAGACTGCGGACACATTACAGAAAATGACCAGAGACTGTGGACATAGTACAGGGAATGACCAGAGACTGCGGACATAGTACAGGGGATGACCAGAGACTGCGGACATAGTACAGGGGATGACCAGAGACTGCGGACATAGTACAGGGGATGACCAGAGACTGCGGACACAGTACAGGAGATGACAAGAGACTGCGGACATTCTACAGGAGATGACCAGAGACTGCGGACACAGTACAGGAGATGACCAGAGACTGCGGACACAGTACAGGAGATGACCAGAGACTGCGGACACAGTACAGGAGATGACCAGAGACTGCGGACACAGTACAGGAGATGACCAGAGACTGCGGACACAGTACAGGAGATGACCAGAGACTGCGGACATAGTACAGGAGATGACCAGAGACTGCGTATATAGTACAGGAGATAACCAGAGACTGCAGACATAGTATAGGAGATGACCAGAGACTGCGGACATAGTACAGGGGATAACCAGAGACTGTGGACATAGTACAGGAGATGACCAGAGACTGCGGACATAGTACAGGAGATGACCAGAGACTGCGGACACAGTAAAGGAGATGACCAGAGACTGCGGACCTTTTTGGAGGGGGGGGGGAACAGGTACCTGAATTTGACAGGTACCCGCTCCCACGTCCGCGGAGTTGTCCTTCCTTCTTCCCGCGGCGGCTTCTGTGACAGCTGGGTGCCCACTGCGCATGCTTGAGAAGTGCTACGCTTTGTGAATGGCCCTGAGCCTTCTGGGACCTGTCATGTGTCCCAGAAGACGCTGGACCATTCACAAAGCGCAGCGCTTCTCACACATGTGCAGTAGGTACCCGGCTGTCACAGAAGCCGCCGTGGGAAGACTGTACAGCACTGGAGCGAGGAACAGGTAAGGTCCTGCAGGAGAGAAGAGCTTGGCGGCCGGCCCGGTATTCTGACATGGTGGTGGCAGAAATACCGGACCGGCCGCTTTACATTCGCTCCATAAGACGCACTGACATTTTCCCCCCTTTTCTGGGGGGAAAAAAGTGTGTCTTATGGAGCGAAAAATAAGGTAGTTGGAAAGATGGATGTACCATAAAGTGATATTTCCTTCAAAGAAGCAAATTAAATATGGTATAGGTGGATCCTGTCCTAGTCCTTGGCTGCTACTCCTCTGATAGCGACAAAGAAGGTACTTGCCAGATGTAATTTCCTAGATGTGTACTGAGGAGTGTGTGGTACAAAAGTTCATCTTGTTTGAAGGACTCTTTGGAACATTTAATGGTTAAAAGCAAGAAACAAAGCCTGTGCATGGCTCCATTTGATGCTATTAACCATTAAATGCTCCATAAAGTCCTTCAAGCAAGATGAACTTTTGTACCACACACTCCTCAGTACGCATCTTAGAGGTTACTTTGCAAGAGAAGATGCAGTTTGCAAGGGAATTAGTGAATGTGGTGAAGTTTTACTTTGCAAAGAAGACCCACTCACACGCAAGGAAGATTAAAAAACAGTATATTAGTTTGCACATGACTGAATGATGGAAGTCACATGAGCTCCACCTCATTCATTAAGCTTTGGGGAAAATTTCCCTGCAAAGTGCAGTTTCCTTTCCCTTACAAAATGAACAGTCTATTTGCTTTTAGTAAATCATCCCCATAGGACCTAAGGAGTACATTCCATGGACACTAATATATCTTCTGTCTAAACAGTTGATTTTAACCACTTGCCCTCCAGAGGATTTACCCCCTTTTCCTGACCAGGCCATGTTTTGTGATACGGCACTGCGTTACTTTAACTGATAATTGCGCGGTCATTCAACGCTGCACCGAAATGAAATGTATGTCCTTTTTTTCCCACAAATAGAGTTTTTCTTTTGGGTGTATTAGATCGCCTGTGTTTTTTTTTATTTTTTGTGCTATACAAAAAAGACCGACAATTTTGAGAAAAAAACAATATTTTTGACTTTTTTGCTATTAAACATGTCCAGTAAAAAAATTTAAAAAATCTAATTTTGGCATAAATTTAAGCCAAAATGTATTCTGCTCCATGTCTTTGCTAAAACAAAATCCCAATACGTGTAAATTAATTGGTTTACATGAAAGTTATAGCGTTTACAAATGGAGGTATATACACTGGATTTTTTGTGTTTACTAGTAATAGCGACAATCAGCTACTTATAGCGGGACTGCGGTGGGTATTCTGACACTGGGGGGAACTGACTTGGTGTCACTGACATCCCCAGTGACAGCAATACAGTGATCAGTGCTAATAAAAAGCACTGACACTGTGCTAATGACACTGGGCAGGAAGGGGTTAACATCTGGGGCGATCAAAGGGTTAACTATGTGCTGTTTTCACATTATGTGCTGTGTGTGTGATTCACTGTAAGCACATTGCTTTGTATGGCTCTACTATGCAGGAGATGACGGGAGAGACGTATATTGTTTTTACTGGCCGGGACCCAGTGATTGACAGCTAAGGCCGCGAATGGCAGCTCATGTAGGGCGCGCGCGCAGCTCATGTGCACCCCCTACCCAGAACTGCAAAATTATATATATATATATATATATATATGTGTGATTTTGTGCACCCATGCCGCCCTGCAATAGTATTTCTGCTATATGGCGGACGGCAAGCGGTTAGGCAAAGTGCAACTTTTCTTCTCTTGCAAGGAAAACAGTCTATTTGCCTTTAGTAAATCAACCTCATAGGAGCTAAAGAGTACGTTCCATAGACACCAATATATCTTCTGTCCAAACAGATGTTTTTGGCAGTAAAGCCACCATCAAGGTTGTAAAGGCATTACTTTTGTACTGTGTGGATGGGGTTCTGAGTACAAATCAGTCAGAACAGGACCTAACCACTTAGGTCCATTGGTAGTATTTGTCAACGGCACATTAAATAGAGCTAAACAGAGGGACAATTTTGAGAATGAAAATAAACAAATAGCAAGACTCAGGCATTTATATATACAGTATATATATACTGTATATATATATATATATATATATATATATAGATAGATGGATAGATAGATAGATAGATAGATAGATAGATAGATAGATAGATAGATAGATAGATAGATAATAGATAGATAGATAGATAGATAGATAGATAGATAGATAGATAGAGAGATAGTAGTGCTTACCCGCACAGGAGCCGCAGGATATGATGAGTTCTATGCTCTGCCACAACTCTCTAAACTGCTCGATCCCTACTGACACAGTTGACACAGGTCGCTCACACCTGTTAATATGCTGCCACTCTATAACAGTGCACAGAAATATTTGTGTTCATTCTAAAGGTAATCCTATGCTGGACAAAAATGTACAAATTACCAATATGTAACCTGCAGATATTAACCATTAGCCGCCCGGCCTATAGCCGTTTGGCGGCCGCAAAAAATGCATTAGCTTTCTGGGGTGTATGCCATTTGGCGTGCTCCCGCACATGCGCAGTTCGCGTGGTTGCAGAGCCGCGCGGTTGCAGAGCCACGCAGCGGCGTGATCTATCACGGGCCGTGTACCTTGGACACGGCCGATGACAATTCTGAGTACCGGCCCCTGTTGCCGGTACCATGTGACCTGCTGTGACTAATCACAGCAGGTCACATGACAGTTGTATACAATGGATGGCTTCATTCATGCCATCCATTGTATACTAGTGTCTAGCTGTGAATGGTCACAGCAGGTCACATGCACATGTCATGTGATTAGCTGTGGCCAAATCACAGCTAAGCACAAAAAAAAAAAAAAAAAACCCTGAATGAATCGATGTCATTCAGGTAAATGCTTGCTTATAGCAAAGTAATTCTTTGCTATAAGCAAATTGTGTAAAACAAAAACAAAAAACAATACTGAATACTTCCCCAAAGTAGTACAATGTTACTATGGTAACATTGTACTACTTTGGTCATAGTAAAATATGAAAAAAAAATCTTAAAAAAAAAAATTTTTATAAAAAATTAAAAATAATAAAAAAATATATATATTTTTTTTCATACTGTCACCAGTCAGTGTCCCTGTTCACCGCCATGCCAGTTATATGATGATGCTGTACTGCACTGGTGACAGTATGTAAAAAAAAAAAATAGTGAAAATAATTTTTTTAATTTTTTCATTTTCCGAAAAATTAGAAGATTGGTTGTCAGTACTTCAGGATTGATCAATTTTCAGATCTATACCATAGTTTGTGAACTCTATAACTTTCCTACAAACTAAGAAATACATCCTAATTTGGGTTATTTTCGCCAAAGACATGTAGTAGAATCCATCTCGGCCTAAATTTATGAAGAACAATTATTTATTTGTAAACTTTTATAACAGAAACAAAGAAAAACGTGTTTTTTTTTCAAAATTTTTGGTCTTTTTTTGTTAACTTAGCAAAAAATAAAAACCCCGGCGGTGATTAAATACCACCAAAAGAAAGCTCTAGTTGTGTGAAGAAAATGATAAAATTTTAGTTTGGGTACAATGTTGTATGACCGCGCAATTGTCATTCAAAGTGTGAGAGCGCTGAAACCTGAAAAATGGCCTGGGCATGAAGGTGTAAAATTGCCCGGTATTGAAATGGTTAAAAGATATTATTACATATAGAAAACTGTATCTGCATGGTCATAAACACTGTGACTTCCCATTGGCCGCTCCTCAACTGATGCAATAAAATGATGTGCCTGATAGTCATTGCAAACCAGGAAATGCGCTTCCTAGTAGCTTGCCTACAACAAACTGGACAGAAATTGTAGCGGGGTCCAAGTGCATAGCACTACTCCAACCATGCTACAGTTTCTGTCCAGTTTAGGCAAGGTACTAGGAAGTGCATTTCTTGGTTTGGAATGACTATGGAGGACATAATTTTATTGCTCCAGTTGACCTGAGCATCATCTTTTTCTGTTCAAACTGTTGGATATACTTTCATGTGCTCAACATTGGGACACTGAAGGTTTTTCAGCCACATCCAGCCCATCTGTATGATGGTTTTGGATTCTTGGATTTATTTGGTGTATTATCGTTGAATTAAAGATAATGAGCATCCAATGAACATCCTTTTGGAATGCATTCTCCTAACTTTATTTGTCCCCTGAAGAAGCTGGTGAAACATAAGGCCCGGTGGCTTCAAGTTCTGGTGTAAATCAAAGCTATGTTTTATCCTTAAATAGAAGCTGGAATGTTTCTTTGAGAGAATTTCAACCTAAAAAGTCACACTTTATTGGGGTTTTGGATGGTTCAGACATTGATGCACATTTTTCACATGTTAGTGTAAGTTGCCAGGGCCTGACACCGCGTTTGTCGCAGTAACCTCTTATTTTAACAAGAAAAAACACTTTAATATCATCCTAAATATGGGTGTAACCTGAAACATGGTCAGAAAGGTAGACTTATCATGTATCATATGACAAAGGATTCCAAGAGAACTATGGGCTATGCAAAGAAACAGCACAGCAGAAACTGCCTAACTTCAGGTGTGATTGAAACCTTAGATTCGACTTGTATGACGGAAGGGAAATAGTCGCTTCTCTGACGTATACACCTGTGTGTGTGTGTGTGTGTGTGTGTGTGAAGTTTAGCTTGAGCTATTGAACTCTGCAAAAAAAAGGCTTCTTAACAGGAGTAAGGGGACACTGGAAAAGACTTGACAGAGGTAAAACATTATACTATCCTTTTACTAGCTGAAATTCCACATTCTATGTCTAAAGCAATTCTTATCAATCTTTTTTTCAATGCTATTTTACACAGAAACGATGAACATGTCCTCCATTTACAGTTTTTTATAACTGATTATTTTAGGATATTTAATTGAAAAAAATGATCCAGAGTCAAATTAATTTGAGTTTAATCCTTTCTCAATTGTGACATTAGCAGACTTCAAATAACATTATTAGAAGAATGCAGAAAGAAGGCGTTTATTTTGATAAGAGCCTTTGAAGTCAAGGTAATAAAACTCGGAGTAACCAGATCAAGTGAAGACCGCATATGGAAACAGTGGGAGATGCTTTGTCAATACAATTTCAATGGTTAGGCATTCCGACTGCATATTAATAGAGACACATGGGTGCATCTCAGTTTAAGAGGAAGTAAAGAAATCTGTAAAAGGATTTGTTTAAACTGTAAATTTATCAAACAGACCAAAATGTCTTCTATTGTGGAAGTAAACCAGAAGTCTGAAAGAAATGATAATAGTTGTGGGTCAATGTTATTATTCAGTTTTAACTGGTGTGTCACGAATGCACCCAGGAATACAAAATATATATACAGTATCTCACAGAAGTGAGTACACCCCTCACATTTTTGTAAATATTTTATTCTATCTTTTCATGTGACAACACTGAAAAAATGACACTTTGCAACAATGTGACTTAGTGAGTGTACAGCTTTTATAACAGTGTAAATTTGCTGTTCACTCAAAATAACTCAACACGTAGCCATAATTGCTAAACCAATGGCAACAACAGTGAGTCCACCCCTAAGTGAAAAGTCCCAAATTGAGCCCAAAGTGTCAATATTTTGTGTGGCCACCATTATTTTCCAGCACTGCCTTAACTCTCTTGGGCATGGAGTTCACCAGAGCTTCACAGGTTGCTACTGGAGTCCTCTTCCACTCCTCCATGACGACATCACAGAGCTGGTGGATGTTAGAGACCTTGTGCTCCTCCACCTTCCATTTGACGATGCCTCACAGATGCTCAATAGGGTTTAGGTCTGGGGACATGTTTGGCCAGTCCATCACCTTTACCCTCAGCTTCTTTAGCAAGGCAGTGGTCGTCTTGGAGGTGTGTTTGGGGTCATTATCATGTTGGAATACTGCCCTGTTGAACAACCAAACCAAGCACGCACGGTGCGCTCTTCCTGCCAGTCACAGCAGCAGCTAAGTTCAGCAATTGCTGAGACAGAGAGAGGGAGAGCACATGTTCCTTAGATGTTGGAGAGCACCCAACGGTTCTCATGCCCTAGGTTCTGCGCAGGATCCAAATGACCTCTCCCAATGGCAGTTTTCTGGCCAGGCCTCAGGGAAGGCACCCTTGGCCTACAAGAATATCATCTAAAGCAGCCATTCTCAACCAGGGTTTCTCCAGAGGTTGATAGGTGGCCATTGAACAGTGGCTTACTGACTTTCCAACCACGTCTTTAGGATTATGAAGACTCTTTATTGGATTAAAAAGTTACATCTTGAATCCCAGCGCTAACATGTTTATGCCCCGTGTTGACCTTTGTTGTGGCTCCCATCTGATGGTGCCTATGTACAGTAGTTCTATGTCCAACAACAATTGGCAGGGTTATGGACATTTTCCCAATGACCTCCAAATATTTTCTTTTTTTGTAGCAGGGGTTCCCTGACACCTGAAAAATATTTTAGGGGTTCCTCTGTAAAAACAAAGTTGAAAAAGTATGCTTCTTTTCTTCTCCACTAAACAATGGGTTTTTAAATAATGGGGTCTCTTTATTGCATACTAAATTTCAATAAACATGTGAATTTACCCTTTGAGCA